CAACTCGATTTAACAGCTTTGAACATGGAAACGGGGATATATATATATATATAGAGAGAGAGAGAGAGAGAGAGAGAGAGAGAGAGAGAGAGACATACATGCACACAAGCATATACACACTAATAATATTTCTATATTTCAGCCAGTCATACTAGGAAATAAAGTTCAGTTAATCCAAGTCGACTGGCAGTAAAGCTCACATTCTAAAAAGTGTTTATCATTTAAATCTGCTCCAAAAAAACGACAACAAAATCTCACTAATGTTTAAATTTTTGCATGAGAGCCTTTAAGCAAGTTACAAGCCTGTCACAGGTCTAATGTTTAAATTACAAGCTGTTTTATAACACAAAGAACTGAGTTTATGAGATTTAAGAAAAAAATCTTGGGTCATTAAAAGAAAGATAAAGAGTCAAGTCAGGGAGTTAGCTCCTACCTACCTACCTAGTACAAAACACAAGCCCTATTCAAAACTGCAGTCACTTGCGGACTGGGTGGAGTCTGGTCCCCTCTGCATCAGATCCCAAAGAATAACAAAACCATTAAGTACTAAAAGGAGTAACCAGGACACATGCGGCGCAAGCCTTTACTGTGATTATTGCCAATTTCAAAGCAGAGAAGTGAGAAACGGCCTTTGTGGGGATCAAAACAGCTCCTGGAAATCTGCCATAAACATGTGTACGCTATTTGTTATGGGTGAATCGAGGGGGTAAAAAAGGCTTCATACGAATGTGCAGGAATAAAGTTAGGAGCAACAAATCATCTTCCGCACAGGACTGAAATTAAGTCAGGTCGGCAGCAGGAGGTCCCAACACACGGCCGCGCGCCCCCCCTGGCCCGAGCGCTCCCCTGGCCCGCGGCGACGGCGCCTTCGGGAGTTGTTATAGTAACCACACCGACGCACGCGACGTCCAGGAGGTGCCACGGAATTCGCAGGTACTGCATAAACTGGGCTCCCAGCTTCTCCCGATAACAAAAGCGCATTCAGGTTTTATCCTACGGGCCCACCTGCAATTTCTGCAAGATCTGTTTGCCTTCTTCCTCTTCATCAGCCATCGTTTCCTGGCCACTCTCGGCTACTCCGCCCCCAACTTTATAACCAGAGAGACTCATACCTACGCTCATCTTGGAGCCACAGCGACATCTAGGGCGCTGGAGGCTTGCCTGCACCTAAGTAGAGGAGCTGGTTTTCAAGGAAGGGTATCGCTCCTAACCAACTTAACCCAATGCCTAAAGAGCAAAGGAGATGCCACGTTACAGTTCATAAACTTCATTTCCAAAATCCTAGAAACAATCTGTTCTCGGCTAATTGCATGTACTGTATATTTTTGTCTCATTTTTTTCTACTTATTTATGCCCAGATTATAATACCCCAAAAAGAAGACAGGTTGAGAGTAGATGCCTGTTACAAGTTTAAAATTTGAAGGAAATGTAGTATACCTTTACAGTGATTTTCTATGTATGAGGAATTTTATCATTTTGAACACACTATCCTAATAAATCTACTACATTTGGGGTAGTATGAAAGCCATCACTAATATACTAGTATATTAGTGCACTAATAATGCTTATTGACAGACTATATATCCAGGATACATGAGACAATGAATGTCTCTGGAGAAGGAAATAGGGGGACTGAGAGTTGTTGGTAGGCAAAGAAAATTTCACTATGTACACTTTTGAATTTATTGTTATGTACATGTATTAGTTACTCAAAAATAAGCATAATTTTTAAATTAAAAAATTACTTACTTCCACATAGACTCTCTCTGAAAGAAACACAAGACACCTGCAACAATAACTGCTTCCAGAAAGGGGGAGCCAGTGGCTGGGAGACAGGTGCCTTTTCTGTACCTTTTGAATTTGTACCATGTGAATATATTCAACTTTTCAATAATAAGTAACTATTTTAAAAGTTGCATGTAATAGTCCTAACAAAGTTTCTCTTTACTGTTTAGTTTTAATTATAGCTTACTTGTACTCCAGACTGATTCTGTGAATCTACAGCAAGAAACAAAAGTTCAAGGCAGAGTTTGGCTGGCTTGGCTCAGTGATCGAGTGTGGACCCATGAACCAGGAGGTCATGGTTCAATTCGTGGTCAGGGCACATGCCTGGGTTGTGGGCTTGATCCCTAGTGGGGGGCGTGTAGGAAGCAGCTGATCAATGATTCTCTCGCATCCATGTTTCTATCTCTCTCTCTCTCTCTCTCTCTCTCTCTCTCTCCCTTCCTCTTCTCTCTCTGTCAATAAAAATATATATTTTTAAAAACTGTGTATGGAAGAAAAATACTTTGTACTGTAATCTGTAAAATCTGTGTGATTACTATGAAATAGGGAGGGACATTTTAAAACTTTATTCATTTTAGAGAGAGAGGAGGGGTAAGAGAGAGACATCACTTTGTTGTTTCACTAATTTATGCATTCATTGGTTGATTCTTGTATGTGCCCTGAACTTGGATGGAACCTGCAACCTTGGCATATTGGGACTATGTTCGAACCAATTGAGCTACCCAGCCAGGGTTTAAAACTTTTAAGTCAGGATTTTTAATCCTCTTTCTCAGACAAGTGGTCTTTGGCACCAATTCAATGCCAACAGGAATCCCCAATTTGGGGTGTGGTAAAGAAGGAAACTTTATTCAGTGCAAAACAGCTCAATTGTAATACAGCATGGCACAGTTGTGAGGTAGTCCTGGGGCCAGGTGGTCCTGGAGCCAGGCCCCTCTCCAGCTAGACAGCTCTCCTCCGTTCCTAGTCAGCTCTGCTCTGGGCCCATCTGCTGTGGGCTGTGCTGGTCTGCTCCACTCTGCTCTGGGGAGACATCTTCTGTTTCAGCTCTAGTCAGGGGAAACTACTAGAGCTAAAGTCTTCAGTATTTAGTGGAAAGGGAAAGTGCACTTTAGACTCCAAACAGCCAGAAGCCCCTCCCTCCCCCTCTGCTAACCCGGCCCCAATCGCTCCCCCAACCCTCCCATCAAGGGCGGGGCCAGCTGGCCAACCTCCTGTGTCCCCTCCCCCCAGCCAGCCAGGCCCAATGGGCCAGATTGGGGCAGGCCACCAGACCCTGCCCATGCGCAAATTGGTGCACCAGGCTCTAGTAAGATATATAAATGTCAAATCACTATTTGTACATCTGAATCTGATATATTGTATGTCAACTAAACTTTAATAAAATAAATATTTTTGAAGAGATTTTAGTCTAAACTCCTAAATTGCTTTCTATTCAATTATGTAAAGCAAGGGGTATTTACTCCCCTTTCTATAATGACTAAATATTAAAAAATCATCAAATTTGCCCTGGCCAGTGTAGCTCAGTGGTTAGAGAGTTGGCCCTGGGAGTTGCAGGTTCATTCCCTGGCCCAGTGGAGGCCCACGCAGGAGACAGCCAATCTATGTGTCCCTCTCACATCAATATTTCTCTCTCTCTCCCTCCCTTTCAGTTCTCTAAAAGATCAATGGAAAAAAATATCTTTGGGTGAGGATTAACAACAACAACAAAAAATCCTCAAATTATTTCAGTATGATTTATTACCTAAAAATCAATGGGATTTGACATTTAGTATAATTTCATTGTAATTCTTCCCAAACCAATAAGAATAAATCACAAAACTTGATAGTTACAAAAGGCTTACTGAATAATCAAATTCAATCCCCCATTTTACAGATATAGAAACAAAAGCCCAGAAAGTTTAAACTCAAACGTGCATAACCAAAAAGGCCATAATTAGAACCCAGACATTCTATCCCCCTAACCAGTATGATTTCAAGTCTTGCCTCTAACAGGACATAGTTACTAAAAGTGTCCTTCAAATTTCTTTTGTGGTCTATACTTTAAATAAGTTATCTGTCAAAAATGCTCACTATTTAATAAAGGCAAACAGGGAATACATTTTTTAAAGTATTTTAGCCCTAACTGGTGTGACTCAGTTGGTTGAAGACTGGTCCCATTCACCAAAAGGTGGCAGGTTCAATTACCAGTTAGTGCACATACCCAGGTTTTGATTCCATCCCCAGTCGGGGTGAGTGCTAGAGGCAACAGATAGAAGTTTCTCCTTCTCTCATGAGCTCGCTCTCTCTCTCTCTCTCTCTCTCTCTCGTCTCCCTTGCTCTCTAAAATCAATTTTAAATTTTTTAAAGTATCTTAATTAATATAACCTCTTGAGATTAATATCATATTGTAAGTTTTCTATGATAGAAGTGCATTACTAAATAAGTAAACCCAAACCCTAGCCGGTTTGGCTCAGTGGATAGAATGTCAACCTCAGACTGAAGGGTCCCAGGTTTAATTCTAGTCAAGGGCACATGTCCAGGTTGCAGGCTCAATCCCCACTAGGAGGAGCGCAGGAGTCAGTCAATCAATGATTCTCTCTCATCATTGATGTTTCTATCTATCTCTCCCTCTCCCTTCCCCTCTGAAATCAATAAAAATATATTTAATAAAAAATAATAAATAAACCCAAGACAACAGCTGACAAAACAGTAAAGGAATAATTTTATTTTTAAATAAATGGCAAAAACTCAACTTTACAAAATAACTTTATCAATGTAAATTATTTTTAAACAGAAATAAGAACTGATCACATGTACATCAAATTATACTCTCATTCACTGAATGAGCACATACATTCCAAACAAGTTAATGCAAGGGCAAATATGTAAATATATAGGAATAAATGTATACACCCAAATAACAAACTACAGACATACATTACCATTTCCTGAGAACTAAATCTTCTCATAAATATACTGGAAAATATAGCAAAATATCAATATAAAGGAATATGCATATACATATATGCATAAATACCAAACTCCAAAATGACATGCAGACATATAACATAGGTGCTTTTATACATATGCATAAACATATAGCTCAGTCAGAAATGCCCAGACAGAAACAAATTGTGATCTACAAAGCACCTTATAATATTATAACCTTCCTACTACTGGTAAAAACTCAACAGTTCACAATGAAATTGAGTTTAATAAAATGCTCATGCTTTAAATAATGAAAACAGAAAAAGGAACCAGACTCTAAAGCCACTCCTCATTGCCACTCAATTTCTTAAAAATTGAATATGTGAAGACAACTTCAAAACTTAGTAGCACAGGGAGGTTGGTGACTCCTATCTAGAATAAAGATTATTTGATAAATGAAATCACTAAGAGTGAACAGAGAAACATTTTGTAAAGTGCATTAAATTCTTTTTACTTTAAAGGCCCTGCTAGAGACTTGCTGCTGCTCTAATTCATGACTTGGAGATGCAAAACTAAAAAAGTTGCTGCTGGGTTCAGGTGCTGTGGGAGAACCCATAAAAAATGGTCTGAACTGAAAATCTCCGTCTCCACCACCCTGGTTTTGAACTGGTGTACTGTCCAAAGGAAACTTGGATTTGTTCCCTAGGGGGGAAAGAAGGGGAAAACTTAAGCATCTATTTACTTACAAATTTTTAAAACCAAAAAGACAAAATTCATTCAATAAATATTTTAACAGAACTCAATTCATACAAGACAAATAAAATATAAACCTAATGTTAAATAAAGAAAAGGACCATGATGGTTCCCATCCCTCCCCCTGACCACAGTATAAATACTGTACCTTCTTCTGTGATGCAATTTCCAATTACAGCCATGACCTCATCACCAAAAGTAATTTGACACAATGAAATACATTTTTAGCCTTGACTGGTGTGACTCAGTTGGTTAAAACATTGCCCTGTGCACCAAAAGTTCATGGATTTGATTCCCGGAGGGCACATACCTACATTGTGGGTTCAATCCCCAGTTGTCAGGGCACTTATAGGAGGCAACTGATATCTATCTATCTATCTATCTATCTATCTATCTATCTATCTCCTTCCCTCCCTCCCTCCATCTCTAAAAATCAATTTAACAAATAATAATAATAATTAATTAATTAATGGCAGCTAATATTATTATTATTACTGCAACTAAATAGCTTTTCATTTAAAGCAGCAATTTGTGAAATTTTATTTTGAAGATATTTACTTTCTGTTCAAATTGAAGCTGTAACTTAAACATAAACAAATATAATAGATAAAAGATAATAGATAAATGATGTACAGAATGAGACATGGATGAAGAATCTAGAGCCTATCACCATTCTCAGCCTTTGGAGTCTCTACTAACTACTTGGAGCCATGCAGAACACAATGTGAAAAATCACTGATTTAAAGAACAAATATTAGATAATTATATGTCCTTCCTTACCTAATGGGAAGCCAAAAATACCAGAATTGGAAATCATGGATGGTTCAAAGTTACCTTCCTGATTAGCAATAGTGATGTTTCGTAGCCTAAGGCTATCATAGAGGCCTTGGAGCTTTTGATACTGACGATTCCGCTCCATAAGTTTCTCAGAGATGTCACTGAACTTCTTCTTGTATTCTTCTAGCACTTTCTTCATTGAGGTGACCTCTCCTTTCATAGAGGTCAATTCTACATCCTTGCTCTGTATTTGCTGAGTATATATCTTCTCCATCTGCTTCAGATGACCCTCAGCTTTGCTGAATTTGTATTCTTGATAGAGACGCTCCTGATGTACCTGTCCCAAGAGAGGAGAAAAAAAGATTTTTTAAGGTAATAAATATAAAACTTATATATTGTAAAACTTGACAAATGCAAAAAGAAAAGAAAGATGATTATCCTGGGGTATTATTAACATTTAGAACCATGTTAAGAAGTAATCGGGGTGTACAATAGGATGATTATTATAGAAAGTAATATGTTATGTAACTAAATGCATAAAAAAATCTGGAGGAATACTATCACACCACTACCATTACACCAACAAAAGAAGTAAGCATTTGTCTAACTTTTACAAATGACATGTAGTCCAAAAATTTTTTGTATGCATGCATATAAACATAACCAATGGACGCAAGACACGGGGGGTGGGGGTTGAGGGCATGTACCGGGGGGGGGGGGGGGGTGGACTACTATTTGTAATACTTTAAACAATAAAATAAAATTTAAAAAATTATATTGGGATTAGGGGTTGGAGGGTGAGGAAGGGGGAATGATGATGCTTTTTTTGTTAAACTAGAAGGAATATACTATATCTACTAATAAAAACTATTATTTATTGAAAAATAAAAAAATTTAAAAAAAGAAATATAATCTGCCCTAGCCTGTTTGACTCAGTGGATAGATCGTTGGCCTGCAGACTGAAGGGTCCCAGGTTTGATTCAGGTCAAGGGCACATGCCTGGGTTGAGGGCTTGATCCCCAGTAGAGGGTGTGTAGGAGGCAGCTGATCAATGTTTCTCTTTCATCATTGATGTTTCTATCTCTCTCTCCCTCTCCCTTCCTCTCTGAAATCAATAAAAATATGTTTTTTTTAAAAGAAATATAATCCTATGTTTTAAGTAAATCATAGTGCAAAGAACAGATTATAAGATAGCCCCCAATTATTCCTGTCTCTTGGTATTTACTAGTATATTCCCTTCCTTGAGTGTGGATGGGAGACCTGTAACTAAAACACAGAAAAAAATTACAAGATGTCACTTCATGAGAATATAAGATCTGTCTTGTTAGTACACTCTCTCGTTGGCTTTGTGAAAGCATGCAGCCATACTGGGAAGGCCAACAAGGCAAGTAACTGAGAGGAGACTCTGGGCAATAGCCAGCAATATACTTAGGTCACAGTGAATCTACTCATAGATTTTACACCTTTCACAAAATTAACTCAAAATGGATCACAGACCTGAATGTAAAATATCAAACTATAAAATTCCTACAAGATAACATAGGAGAAAATCTAAATGACCTTGGGTTTGGTGGTGACTTTTTACTAGTATATATAACACCAAAGACAAAATGTACGAAAGAATTGATAAGCTAGACTTCATTAAAATTAAAATTTTCTGCTCTGTGAAAGACAATGTCAAGAGAATAAAAGATAAGTCACAGACTAATCTATATATATAAAAGACTAAGTGACTGAAGGACTGAACGACCAAACGACTGGTCGACCAGTTGCTATGATGTGCACTGACCACCAGGGGGCAGATGCTCAATGCAGGAGCTGCCTCCTGGTGGTCAGTGTGCTCCCACAGCCAACCTACCTATATCCAATTGGTAAGTCGAAAGTATGGAGAACCAAGTACCCTCATATACTTCTTAATAGAACACACTGATATAACCTAATTTGAGGGCAATTTAAAAATACTGCAATTTAGCCCAGCCAGCGTGGCTCAGTGGTTAAGCATCGATCTATGAACCAGGAGGTCATTGTTTGATTCCCGGTCAGGGTGCATTCCTGGGTTGCGGACTCAACCCCTGATGTGGGGCCCTGCAGGAGGCAGCCACTCAATGATTCTCTCTCATCATTGATGTTTCCATCTCTCTCTCTCCCTCTGCCTTCCTCTCTGAAATCAATAAAAATATTTTTTAAGCCCTAGCCCATGGACTGAAGATCCCAGGTTAGATTCTGGTCAGGATCATGTACTTCGGTTACAGGCTCTATCTCTGGCCCTGGTTGGGGTGCGTGCAAGAGGCAACCAATCGATGTGTCTCTCTGACATCGATGTTTCTCTCTCTTTCTCCCTTCCCTTCCACTCTCCCTAAAAATCAATGGAAAAATATCCTCTGGTGCCCAGCTGGTGTGGCTCAGTGGTTGAGTGTTGACCTATGAACCATGATCCCCAATGGGGAATGTGCAGGGGGCAGCTGATCAATGATTCTTTCTCATCATTGATGTTTCTAGCTCTCTCTCCCTCTCATTGCCTCTCTGAAATCAATAAAAATATTTTTTTTTAAAAAAAGAAAAATATCCTTGGGTGAGAATTAACAAAAAACAATGTGTAAATTGTTTAAATACTGCAATTTAAAAAACATTTTAAATTGTTTAAATACTGCAATTTAAAGAACATTGAAATTGATTTATCTAGCCCTAACCGGTTTGGCTCAGTGGATAGAGCGTCGGCCTGCAGATTAAATGGTCCCAGGTTCGATTCCGGCCAAGGGCATATATCTTGGTTGCGGGCACATCCCCAGTGGGGAGTGTGCAGGAGGCAGCTGATCGATGTTTCTCTCTCATCGATGTTTCTAACTCTCTATCCCTCTCCCTTCCTCTCTGTAAAAAATCAATAAAATATATTTTTTTAAAAAGAAATTGATTTATCTATCTTCAGGAATTTAATCTTAGCAAATAATTAAAGACATGAATTTGATATTAATAATGCTCATCAAAGCATTTTTAGTAACTTGGAAATAAATTATGATACAATGCAATCATTAAAATTATAATTACATAATGCTTACTTTAAAAATATTTAATAAAATATTCATAATAGGCATAATATATCATCAACTTTAACTGGCCATAAAAACAGTATGTGTGGTATTATCCTTTTTTTGTAAAGATAAAAATATATATTTATATATAAAATACATATTTATATACATAAAAGTAGTAATACACAAAATATCAACAATAATTATCTCTAAGTGATGGAATTACGGTTTTTTTAATTGTTCTTTCTTCTGGATTTTCAACAATAAATATATTACTTTTAAAGAAAAAATGTATTAAAAAGAAAGTTTTCCATACATTCATAAAAAATAAATACAAACACAGGTGAAGGAAAAACATTAGAAATTTCTACATATACCTCAAATCATACTCTCCAAAGAAACTAGCCTAAGCACTAACCTGGTATGTCCAGAAGGCCAGTGCTCGGGAGCTAATGTCCAACACAATCTCTGGTCGAAGTCCTGCCAGTACCATGGCTTTATATTCCTCTGATGGACTGAGTTCTGTACGGACAATATCTAGTTTTCCAGAAAGGGTACTGTTGCAAGCTGGGCAGATAGCTGGCGAACGACTAAACTCACCGCTGCCATGCTGATCACAGAAAATGTGAGAGCAGGCAGTGACCCACGCATAACCAGAGAGCTTGATGCGACACTTTCGATAATTACAAAGCAGCATGTCGTCACACAAAGACATAATATACAGTGAGGTCCCAGATTCTGAAATGAATCCTAACAAGCAGTAAATGAAAAGGTCAAATAAATCAAATTGCAGTGAAAATGAAATAAAGAAAGAAACCATGTTTTAATTTTATAATAATGTACATTAATGTTTTTGCATTTATTACATTTAATATATTGTGTTGATTTTAATCACTTAACCATATTAATTGTGCTTTGTGCAAACCACTACAAAGGCCTTGAAAAAAAATTAATGAAAAAGTTAAGACGCAGGTGGTTCCAAATTTTAGTAAAATAAAAAATAATATGTACATGGGGGGAAAGTTTAGAAAAGTTTACAAAGTACAAATAAAAAATTAAATTAGTGCTTATTGTCATTCCTTAACTCATAAACAAAAATCCCAATTTATTACCCATTCTTAGTTTGCTAGGATATGTCAGTATTACTTCTCACACTTGGTAGACAGAAAAGTCCAGGAACTGATTTCAGCCATCCTTTACTGCAAAGTAATTTGAGGTTTTTCATATATGGCTGATTTCTCAGATTCTTCACCTACAGAGTCGTAGTAACCTGATACTATTAAATGGAAACTAACCTCATCCACCCAAGTGATGGACCATTATGAAGCACGAAAAACTGCGTAAACGCAGGTATTTTTATCATGAGATCAAGACTCACCGGTTATTATAAATACTATTCCATGCTACACTTCCATTTAAAACATCTGTAAAACTAAATACACTCTTAAGTTAGTTTTCAATATAGTGTTCACTCTTATTGGAATTTTACTAACCCGCACAGGGCAGCAATCTTCTGGATATACTAAAATAAGTCATATACTGTAAAAATAATAATAATAATAATAATAATAATACACCAATTAGACGCCAAGAAAAAATGTTCACATTCCTCCAGTGACAAATTCTGTCAAAAATGCTGCATTGGGCCCGGCCGGTTTGGCTCAGTGGTTAGGGCGTGGTTTCTCTCCCCCACCCCCACCCCCCCCCACACACACACACACACACACCCCGAAGGGTCCCGGGTGGGATTCTGGGATTCTGGCCAAGGGCACGCGCCTCGGTTGCCGGCTCCATCCGGCCCCAGTGTGGGGCGTGGGGGAGGCAGCCAATCTCCCTCACACCGATGTCTCTCTCTGTCTCTCCCCTCCCTTCCAGTCTCTCTAATAATCAATGGACAAATATTAACAACAACAACAAATGTTGCATTGGTCACAGGGTGGACAAGGACCCTGACACCTTTGCCCTCAGCGTGAGTCTCCACAGGTGTCGGCAGGCCAGGCTGCCGCAGTTCGGAGGCCTGTTTTCCCTCCGCAGGGTAATGGGCAGCGGGAAGCAGAAGAGCTGGGAACAGTCTCGAAGCCGAGACCGTTCTCGAAGAGCGAGAGGCACAGATAATACCAGCTTCTCCACGAGATGCGGAAAGAGCCAATTTAGCGAGCTGCCCAGTTATCAAGGGCCAACTTTTTGAGATTTGGATTCACAGAAACATCACTGAAATTCTCGGCCGGCTTTCCGCGCTGGACACAGAAAATAATTCTAATGACATACCTAAGCTGAGGCGACACAAGAAGAGAAAAAAGCGCGGGAAAACGCGGTTCTCTCCACCATGCCAGCACACGAAAGCATTCGTTGCGCGCGTCGCCACTACAGCTGAGAGCGCATGCGCAGAGTCGCCCCGGAGCCTGCCGGGAGTTCCAGCCGCTCAGGATGCTGGGACCTGCCCGCTGTGACACCGACTTGGGCCACGCACCCACCAGGCATGCCTGTCTCAGGCGCTGTGAGGAGGCGATTCCCACTGAGCCTAGTCTAGGTTTCCGACTTGGGAGCCCTACTGTCGTCGAGTGTCCTTTACTGCCCTCAACCAGCCCCGAGTCCCATCCTGGCTTAAAAGGGGGTAACATTTGATGCCAGTCTCCTGAGGGTAAGAGCAGGGGGGCGCCAGTTGAGAAGCACAGGGCCGCCTCTGAGTAGGTGTTTATCCAGGGAAAATATGGGGGGTGCCCACTGGGCAGCACAGGCTTTCTTAGTTTCAGAAAAAATTCCCCAAAATCGTGATACCTAAAACTGGACAGCTATCACCTACGCATTGAGGTAAATTCTGCCATTTTATTTTTTGTCCATCTTGAAATAGACGTATTTCCAGCTTTTACACATCCTCTATATACGGTAGACTTAAATAGAATTTTCCTTGGTAGAGAGTCCACATTATGCACATTCATTACAACGCTTGAAATGAAGCAATAGGATCAGGCGCCACAGGTGTGTTTTTGAGGTGATCTGCCCGTGTACTCTCCTGGATCTGCTTGTGGTTTTTAAAAAGTGTATACCCGTTGGACCCTAATGTTTTTACCTGTTACTTTCTTTTTTCTGCTGATTTTTCGCTCAATGCATGTATTAGAATTCATATTAGAAATTAAGCTGGGGAGGGCTTGAGGGGTCCTCCTTATATAAGCCTTAACACTGTCTTTTGTAGCCACCTTTCCAGGTGATGTGACTCCACTGTGAATCTGTGACACACAATCCAATGAATCAGCAACAAAATGGACACCAAGTCCTGCAAACCCTTTACGGGTTGTGAATGTTACTAAATCTCCTTCAGACAAAAACCTATCCTAATAAAACAACTTCCTACTAGTTTTTTGTTTTATTTTTTTGCAACTTGTTCACAGTAACTGGAAAGGCTTATCTTGGCCTTTGTATACATTTCAATGTCTATCTTCTGAGAATTTACAGAGATAATTCTAGTGGTACACATTGGATGAAAAAAAAAAATGTAGCCCTTAACTTGTATTTTGGCAATCTGAGCCTTTTGTGCATTTTCTGGATTTGACTATGCCAAATGTAGAAATAAATACAAAAGGATACAGTGTCTTTTTAAAGTTATAAAACACAAAGCAATCAAATTCCACCAGCACAAGTACCTAACTTTGTAATCCTAGCCATTACCTTTGTTCTGCAATATCCCTTCCTACTTCATTAAGATCATCCCACAGATTTCCCAAACCTAGTGTCCCCCACACCATTGTTTCCAACTTCCAACCCATTTGGCTAAAAGCCTGTGTGAGTTACTATATTATCTCTCAGTGTATATAGTGTGGGAGCTACAAAGTCTTAATATCGCAGAAGTCTGGAACACTAAGAACTAAACTGGTTCTTGGTAATATGTGTCCTGTTCTCATAGCGTAAATTCTTCCCTGGATTATTTCTAGGATGCTCTGGAGATGAGACCACTGAAATCAAGGCAGAGATACAGAGACCCATTCACCAAAGTTTTTTAAATATTGTTTTTTATTATTAAAAATCAAGCATATAAAAATATATGAATGACCACTTTTCTCACATTTGCTATTTAAATGAACACATTATATACAATTTTCGGCACCCCTATATACATCTCAATCCCATTTTCTACATACCTCTCCAGAGGTAAAACCCGATTGTGGTGTTTATCATTCTCATACATGTTTTTAGTATGTGTACACATCAGTCTTTGTTTTCATGATCTAAAATGACTATCTTATAGCACATATCACTAGGCCATTTTAACTCGTTTTTGAAATGTAGTCAATACACAGTTTGTATTAACAGCTACATATACACATATGCCACCATTTATCCATTTTCTAATGGACATAGGTTCCTAAGTTTTACAATAAAAAACAATACTGAAATGAACTTTTAGTACATGTCTTCTTGAGTATACAGGCCAAGAATTCCTATAGAATGTAATACCCAAAGACAGGGTTAGTGTATAAGCATTTTCAAGAAATCTAGTTGTTGCCCTAACCGGTTTGGCTCAGTGGCTAGAGCGAAGGCCTGCAGACTGAAGGTTCAATTCCAGTCAAGGGCATGTACTTTGGTTGCAGGCACATCCCCAGTGGGGGGTGTGCAGGGGCCAGCTGATCTATGTTTCTCTCTTTGATGTTTCTAACTCTCCCTTCCTCTCTGTGAAAACATCAATAAAATATATATATATATTTTTTTTTAAATCTAGTTGTTGCCAAACCATTCTCCAAAATATAAGTTAAATTTCTTTGCCATCAGCGAAGATGAGATCCTATTGTTCCAGACCCATCAACATGTGAAAGTGTCAGGTTTTTTGTTTCAACATTAGCTGATCTGATGGCAGTGAAATGGTATCTCAATGTTTTAATTTGTAACTCTTTACTAGTGAGATTAAACATCTTTTCAAAGTTCTCATCTGTGACTTGCCCACTCATATTATTTGATCATTTTCTTGATTTATATGGAATCCTTTGTCAGTTACATGGCACGCAAACATAAGTTTGAATTTTACTATACACAAATCAGTCATTCCTTTTGTACTTTTATCTATCCCAATGTTATATTCTTTGCTTTTCTATAATTTTAAAGTTTGAACTTTATTCCATTTTTCCTAACATAGGAGTCTGGATAAAATGGCAGCACTATTTGTGCTTATATATAACTTGTACCATTTAATTACAGGTTACTTTCACCTTTCAAAAATGCTAGTTACCATGAAGTTTGATTTTGAATAGATATTCTAAGTACCTATCAGCCAGATTATGATAGTACTTTTCCCTCATTATCATTGAATATTACACTGTTAGCATCATCCATTCTAAAGAACAGGCTTCATATTCCAACAGGTTATTATAGTTACATACCATTTGTGTGATTCTGGTATAAGTATGAGTATTAAATTATATTCCAAACCAGAGTGAAGTATAGCAGAATTCCAATATTTGGATGTGTATTTTACACACTTTGCATGTACTTTACATTCTCATGGATATAAGTACAGTATATGGGGCAAAAAATTCCTTGTACTATAATTTAGCTAGAACAACTGAGAATATTTCAACATCTATATATATAAAAGGCTAATATGCAAAGTGTCCCCTTAGGAGTTCGACCAGGATTCGATTGCTCGCTATGATGTACGCTGGCCATCAGGGGGCGGCGCGGAATGAAGGAAGGCCCCGATGGGCCCTAATCAATGGCCAGGCCTAGGGACCCTACCCGTGCTCGAATTTCATGCAGCGGGCCTCTAGTTAAATATAAAGCAGAAATAATGACTTAAAAAAAAAAAACCAAAACACTTTATTTTTTCCCATCATCATTTATCCTCTCTATGCCCTCTTCCACCTCTTCCCCCCTAAAATTAATGACTTTTTAACCATTCTTGACTGGTATGTGCAATTTAAACCAAAGATAAATATCCAATAAGGCTATAAAATGTTAATAAAAGATTGCCCATTAAATATCAGTAAGCTTTTGCATATCTATTCCTCACATACATAGTTTTCACAACCATTCTTTATTGCTTCTTAAAGGATCAAACATCATAATCAGATATTAAGTTTTAGGTTCTGGCTGGGTTACAGGGTCATTCTCATATGCCAAGGTTATGGGTTTGATACCCAGTCAAGGCACATACAGGAATCAACCAATGAGTGCATATGTAAGTGGAAGAGCAAATCAATGTTTCTCTTTCTCCCCTTCCTCCCCCTCTAAAAATCAGTAAGTGCCCTAGCCGGTTTGGCTCAGTGGATAGAGCGTTGGCCTGCAAACTTAAGGGTCCCAGGTTCAGTTCCAGCCAGGGGCACATGCCCAGGTTGTGGACTCAATCCCCAGTAGAGGGTGTGCAGGAGGCAGCCAATCAATGATTCTCTGTCATCATTGATGTTTCTATCTCTCTCTCCCTTTCCTTTCCTCTCTGAAATAAATAAAAATATAAAATGAATAAATAAAAATCAATAAGTAATTTTTATTTCAAAAAAAAGAAAGATTTTTAAGTAGACTCACTAGTACCCAGAGAGTTTAATGCACCTATATATACAGTTTACATTACAGTCAAAATTAATTCCCAGTTTTTCTATTTAAATGTCTTGCTGAAATCCCATTAAAATGGTTGCCATTTTCCAGGAATTAAAAAATAATAAAATTAATGGAAATTGATTCACTTCAAAATTATTTTTTGAGTATTTATTATAGACCAGGTGTTAAGGATAGGGAAGTTATCCTGCTTTCATGGAGTTTACAATCTAGCAAAGAACCTAAGGATGATAAAAGAAATATTTTACTCTTTCCTTTGTTTGCTGCCTCATGTTTTTCAAGTTGATTCTATAAACCATTTTTGGTGAGAAAAGTCAGCTTCCATCTACACCTTCATACTGCAAAAGAAAAAAAAAGTTTTTACTATTGCCCTGAATATGTGAACAATCACTCAGTAGAAAACTGAGTAAACCATTTAAAAATGCATGACTTCAGAATAGCATGTTTCAGCAATTTACTAGAGCTCTTTCTCATATAGCCCAGATCAGTGTCATTCAAATACTATTACAATTAAAGATTTCTCTATAGATTATATCCTCAGGTTTTAAAATTAATTTATTTTTTTATTAATCACAGGTAAATTTTTTTAATCCAACATTACCACCTGGCTTATAATTGTTTGACTCCGCAAAAATCAGAAGGCACTAATGGACAGCCAACCCATCCCATGGTGCTCTGAGTGAAGACAAGTCAGCTTAGATATATGATGGACTAAAATCCCACTACTTAAGGCTGCAAGCAGTGAGAGGAACAGCCATCAGAGTTTATCTCCAATCATCTTAACAAACATTTTAATAAATGGTCTAAGACAGCAGTTCTCAACCTGTGGGTCGCCTAAGACTATCAGAAAACACAAATATAATTACACGTTGTTTTCATACTTAATCACTATGCTTTAATTATATTCAATTTGTAACAATGAAAATACATCCTGCATATCAGATATTTACATTATGATTCATAACAGTAGCAAAATTACAGTTATGAAGTAGCAACGAAAATAATTTTATGGTTGGGGGTCATCACAACATGAGGAACTGTATTAAAGGGTCATGGCATTAGGAAGGTTGAGAACCACTGGTCTAAGAAGTATTTATTAAAAACATCAAGTGACTCTTATAGGAATCACTACATCTAAATTTTTATAGTCAGCCAAGAACTCAAAGACCATTAAATATCAATTAGTCCAGCTCAGGGGTGGGCAAACTTTTTGACTCGAGGGCCACAATGGGTTCTTAAACTGGACCGGAGGGCCGGAACAAAAGCATGGATGGAGTGTTTGTGTGAACTAATATAAATTCAAAGTAAACATCATTACATAAAAGGGTATGGTCTTTTTTTTTTTAGTTTTATTCATTTCAAATGGGCCGGATCCGGCCCGTGGGCCGTAGTTTGCCCACGGCTGGTCCAGCTACATAGGCAAAATGAGGAACTTGGTGATAAATAAATTAGTGGCAAAAACAACTAAAGAAAATGTTACTGGAACAATTATATAGGAATACACAGATTTTGACTCTAATTCTAGAATTAAAGTAGGCTTTAGGGTAAAAGATAATGAGGGATAGGCTAATTGGAAGATACAGATAAGCAGTGACCAAAGAATCTCTGACAACCTATTATGCAGATACTAGGAGCCCAGTGCACAAATTTATGCACCTTGAAAGGAACTGTGGGCTGTGAGGCTGCAGTGGGCACAGGGGTGGGTCTTGACCCATCCCTGCACTCCCGCCCAGCCCCACTCACTGCGGCCCCCAGTCTCCTGTCTGCCAGCAGCCCCGCTCCCACCGCTGCCCCTCCCATGTGGCGCTGATGGCGCCAGCCCCACTCGCACCCACTGATGGTCAGCACACATCATAGCAACCGGTTGTTCTGTTACAGAAGACTGGAGAAGAACCAAGCAACGCTTAGAGAGATGGAGTTACACTTTATTATTATTATTATTACGCACAGGCCGAGAGAAAACTATATTTCAAATTCTGGGCCCCAACATAGAGGATGTTTCCCTATTTATATCTTTTTACCTTCTTTGTCTCCCAAATATGGCATTTTCTGGTCCCCTCTGCAAGTTCTTAAAGAGCCCTATGTGCTGGGGCTTTGAGACCTCAACCAAAGGTCTGGCCTGGTGCCAACACTGATAACTTCGTCTGGGGAAGGTTTATGGCCTCTCTGGAATGGGAGTAGTCTTATTTTCCTTATTATTTAAGCAAGCAAGCAAGCATTTACAGGAGCCACAATAGCAGGGTTAAAACTTCGAACAGCAGTTTTTATATACGATGAATGCTTCAGTTTGGCTGTTCGGTCTAGTAGTATTTGCATATTAGGGTTATATATATGATAAGAAATTGCCAGGTAATGCAAAGTCTAAGATAAATGTACACATGAGAATTGATAAAATATCTAGCATCACTGAGCATTTACCATATGCTTAACAATGTTCTAAGCCCCACACTTATCTAATTTAATCTTCAAAGTCAAGCACTATTCATTTGAGTCAGATACTAGGAATATCTTCTTCTAAGATATAAAGACACACACTGAGATATTAAGAAACTTGCCAAGGTTACATAGCTGGTTAAGTGATAGAGGAAGGATTTGAACCTAGTCTGACTCCAGAACCCATATATAACTACTATACTATGCTACCTCTCAACATCTTTAATTGACTTTTTTAAAAAATTAAACTTGTAGCACCTTATAAGAACTAGCCTTGTCACAATGCTGAATTTTCAAAGATTCACATGTATGTCAAAGCTTCTCAATTTCAGCATAATCCTTACCATAAAAGGAAAATGTTGTCGTCATCTATTGCATATCCAGGACTCAGCATCCAAGAGTTTCAAGGCTGGAAAAGAAGTTTCTATAAAGAAACTCAGATCTAGTTTTGGTCTCCTGAAATTTCATTTCTGCAAAAGACATAGCCCAAAGCTAAAACAGTACTGTAAGAGCTGATGTTAGTTTGAATTATTTGTAGTTCCTATTTTTTACCCTTATGTGAACCCCCCTTTCCTTGCTGAAACATGCAGGTACAGGTAAAAAATACAAGCCTGTCTTATATAGGTTGCTTAAAAGTAACTTTTTAAATTATATAGCACATAAATATAATAAAGTCAGAAAATACAGGCTAAGAAGATCACCCATAGAACCCAATTCTAGAGACAATAATCCCTAGTATTTGAGTATATCCTTTCAGATGATTTCTCAGTAAGTACATACAAACATTTTAAGCAGAAAAGGATTATATGTATTGCTCTGTAACTTGTTTTTAACTTATTGTATTATAAATACCCTCCCATTTCAAGAAAAATAAACCTGTACCATAACTTTTAAGTGACTGTATAGTGCTGCATTATATGATCTTGACAAAATTGATTTAACCAACACATGGATTCTCTTAATCTTACAGGCTAGTAAAATAGTGATTAGTTAAAAACTGCTAAGTGGTTGATAGAATTATACCAGTTATCAGTGCTTTTTCTCTACTGTTTGAGTTTTTAGATTAAAAATTCTGTTTTTAAAGGTTTTTTTAAATTGATATTTTACAGAGAGAGGGAAGGAGAGGAAAAGAGAGAAACATCAATGTGAGAGGGAAACATTGATGGGCTGCTCCTGCACACCCCACACCTGGATCCAGAGACCTGGACATGTGCCCTGACCAGAATCAAACTGACAACCTTTCAGTGCAGGGATGACATCCAACCAACTAATGAAAAATTCTTGACCTTATTTCTGTCTATCTCAGAGAGATTTTTTTGGTCAAAAGATCATAGCACAATGAAGTATTGTAGTATCAAATTCATAAAGATTTAGGAATTACTTGGGATCATGGGATCGATCCCAGTAAGTATCCCAAGAAGCAGAATTCAATTCCAGGTGTTTGCCCTAGCTTTAGTCTGCTCAGAGCATGTGTTTAATCAGGATAATCAGCTGAAACACGGACTTAACATGCATTTCATCATGGCAAACTGTAAATGATTGGTGAAGGGCAAACCAACACCAGCTCCTTGTCCCTAAACCAGGAAAACCCTGTTGAGGTTAGAACTAAGGCCTTTTCAACTATCAAATTTCAGCCACTAAGAACACTGAGCCCCAAAACTTGCTGGGTGATTGGAAATCCAAATGAGGTAAACATGAAGATTTTTCTTTCACACTTACCTCTGCTGTCAGATGAATCCCGCTTCTATCTAGGATGAAGTTGAACTATAAGATCTATCAACTATCTAGCATCATCTCTGAAAAATTAAAAAAATACACAAATGTTACAAATACAAGACTTGAATGTACACCAGCCTACTCCACACCAAATCACACCCATACAGCATCAAAGAAAATTACATCAAGGAAAACTGCTCATTCTTTTACTTAAATCTCCATTCACTATTATAAATTGACCCATCTATTTGCAGGATGTCATCAAATGCTCAAAGTTTGGGTAAAACTATAAAATAAGTCTAACCATCCTCTGAACGTTTATAATAGTCAACAGTCTCTCAATAAGAAAACAGGCATGTAAAACAAGAGCCATGTGCTGGCTGAGAGCTTGGCAGTCATGGGAACAAATGCAGGGAGATGAAGTAAAAATGACATGGGTTACTGTTAGCTTCTCAACCCTGTGGGTGTGTGACTGCAGAACACATGTAACCAGTCATTACATTTACAAAACTCCCTTTAAAAAATTTTTTTGAAGGAAGGAAAGCTAAGATTCAGGTAAATGAGAAGGTAATCCAAAATAGTTTTCCAAATCATGTTTCAATTTCACTTGAGCTAATATAGGTTATATTTAGCCGTTACTATTGGTAAACTTTTTATCACAATAAACCTTCCCTTGACAAAGCAAAATTGAATTCCCAACCCTTGGAGCCCAAGTTGGCCACAAGATGGCAATATAAGAACTCATTTCCTCTTCCAGAGCTTGAGTGTAATCTGAATTTTCAGGTGAAGCATACTAGACAATAAGTTCATGGCTGCAGGCAACTTTCAGACTATTCCCTATTCTTCACCTCATTTACTAACTAGAAAATTTTTTCTCTTACATTTAATTATTTAAAACTTATTAACTAAAAATATTACAAGTATATTTTTCTATGTTCCTTTTCATGCAGCAATGTAAAGATTTAAAACTTCATAACCTCAAAGACAATCTAATTGGAGAGATAAGATTCATGAAAATTAATGTCCATGGTAAGTACCAACTAAGTGGTAGAGACAATAAGTAATGTAAAGAATCATTGGCCGTAACCGGTTTGGCTCAGTGGATAGAGCGTCGGCCTGTGGACTGAAAGGTCCCAGGTTCGATTCCGGTCAAGGGCATGTACCTTGGTTGTGGGCACATCCCCAGTAGGGGGTGGGCAGGAGGCAGCTGATTGATGTTTCTCTCTCATCGATGTTTCTAACTCTCTATCCCTCTCCCTTCCTCTCTGTAAAAAATCAATAAAGTATATTTTTAAAAAAAAGAATCATTGGGCAAGGAACGCTTCATGAAGAAAAAGGTAGGTCTTGAATGAGCCTTAAAATTGCACTTAAAACAATACTGTATTGTATGTTTGAGAGTTGCTGAGAGTAGTTCTCCATCACAAGAAAAAAATTATAACTGGGTGTAGTGATGGATCTTAACCAGATTTATCGTGATGATCATTTTATTTTGCAATGCAAATATCAAATCATGTTGTACACTGGAAACTAATGTTATATCACTTATATCTCAATTTTTAAAAACTGCACTGTCCAGTATGTTATACCACACAACCATGCAAATTAAAATTAAGTTAAAAGACAAAATTCAGTCAGTCACTTTTTAATTGCTTAATATCCACATTTGGCTAATGGTTACCATATCGGACATTACAAATATAGAACATTTCTATCACAGAAAGTTCTGTTGAACAGTAGTGCCTTGAAGGATAGGTCTGACTAAAGTAAGCTGATAAAACTATAGAAACCATATTATCCAAACTTTATAACAACCCCTTATTTATAAGAAAATTTTAGGCTCAGAGAAGTTTAATAAATTTCCTAACATCACCTAGCTATTAAGAGCTAGGATTTAAATGCAGTTCTGTCAAAACTCCCTATTTTCACTTCAACATGAAATAAGCAGAGCTATAGAAGATGGTTTGCTTTAGAATGTAATGAGATATAATCAAAGTGTTATTTTACTCCTTTGTTGTCCTATAGTTAAAGACTTTATAATTATGTAAAATGTTGTCATAACAGCAGCATTTGAGATTAGCTAAGGGAATGTAGTCAGAAAGCAAGACATAAAGTCAGAGGTTTCCATAGGTTTAATGTCCACCTCAAAACTCCATGATCCAAATACATCTTACAGGAGAATAATTATAGATTTAAAGGTGCAACTTCTCTATTTGTCTCATCTCACAAAATCCTGAGTGCAAAGGGCCTGGTCTTTGGTCTTACCACATAGCACATAAATCCTAATGTCAAATGTGATGCCTTTCCCAAATTCCAGTCATGCTTCAGCAAGTGTCATTCTACCACATGAAGGCCACTTCACATTTACCGAGTATTTACTTAGTATAAAGTAAATATTTTGTAAATACCCCATAAATAATCTATGACCCACTCATTTTGTTCCCTGTAAGAAGTGCTTCAAAGTACTGGAGCTCATGGCCAAAGGGTTCATTTTATATATGTGAACATATATAAAAATTGTTAATAATCAACTGATGCTTCTGTGTAATTATACTGCCACTCAATTTTACTCAGTGTCTACTGTGTGTCTAGCAATTTGGAATACTACAGCAACTCACTGCCAGAAGCTGGTCCACCCTCGCTGCTTGACACAGTCGCTACAGCGAAGAAACATCTGCACAGCATATGTTTCAAGGGACCTGGCGTATATGGCATACTGTTCTTAATATGTTTGCTCACCTTCTTGGTGCTATGTGTTTTAACCAAGGTCACCTCTCTGAGAAAGGTTGTTTCCCCAGGTAGGGATTTTTCCCTGAAGTTAGGGAGGGAATAAAACCCCTTAACTAAATGCCAGGTGGGTAGTTAATCACTTTAACTACGAACAATCACCCTTAAGCTACATAATCTTTACTCCCTGGAATAGAGATAAGAAACGCCCTAACCTTTGGAATAGAAATTGACAGGATTAAAATCAACTGGTATAAATACAAATGTAACAAGGCAATAAAACATAGAACCTGGCTGGAGATCCTGGACAGAACTTGGCTGGAGAACCTGGCTACAGAACCTGGCTAAGCTGCTGATCAACTGAACGCTGCCTCTGTGTCATTCCTTCTTCGCTGACTCCGTCCACACCTTTGGGGACCCCTGGACCTGCTCGGGTTGGACCCCAACAACTCACAAAACCTCCTATATTTTGAGGGGTTGTTTTCTTTAAATAATTTTTGTTTCTGTATTATTGATGAGAGAGAAAGGAAGAGAGAGCAAGTAACACTGATTGACTGTCTCTCACCCCGACTCAGGATGAGTTAGAAAACCTGGGCATGTGCCCTGACTGGGAATCCAACTAGAAACCTTTTGGTGCACAGGATGATGTTCAACCAACCAGCCAGGGCCCTCCTATCTTTTTTTGATAGAAAAGACACATATACATGTGACAGAGAACACTGAGAGTTGAAGTACCTACCCTTTATGGTCCTGTCAGCCTATAACCATTCCTGCTGAGAATGTCCAAATGCAAGTCCACTTGTTTAGGGGGTCTGCAGCAGATGTAACAGAGGCTTTCAAATAACACTTCTGGGCTAGCACACAGGGTGCTGAAGACCCAGGTCTTTCTTCTTCAGTGGATCCCATCTTTAACCTGAAGCAAAGGAAAATAAATTGGTTGCTTGGCATAGTTCTCTTCTAGAGCTAGCTCTATAGGGCACTACTCTCAGAACAGACTCCCAAGTGGTTTTTGTTTTTAAGTATATTCTTATTGATTTCAGAGAGGAAGGGAGAGGAAGAGATATATGAACATCAGTGATGAGAATCACCAATTGGCTGCCTCCTGCACGTCATTACTGGGGATCGAGCCCGCAACCCTGGCATGTGCCTCCACCAGCAATCAAACCGTGACCTCCTGGTTCATAGTTCAGTGCTCAACCACTGAGCCATGCTAGCTGGGCAGACTGTTTTGTTCCCCACGCACTGTCAGCTAATTTAGCCAAGGACAGTGATTGTTACAACCTCTCAGTGCAGGAGGTATGCACTCAGAGCATATATGAAATAAAAGTGGTGAGGTCAGAAACATCACTGATCATGCAATTTATTCCAAGAGACCACTATTTCACCCAGTCCCATTGCTGGTGGAACAAATGAAAATATAGGACCGAGGGCTTTGGGTCAAAACAGCAAACAGGAATAATTTGAAATCAGGATGCAAGTGGAAATAAAGACCTTCTACCCTGTTAACTTGATATTTTATTTCATACTTTGCCTAGCTTGACTATATAAAGCACTTTTCAGATATTACCTTTTTGCAAGTACCATGTCATCTCCATTTTACAAGTAATGCAAGCAAGGTTAGAGACTAAATGATAGGCAACTTAGCTTAATAGTTGAGATAATGGATGTAAGTTGGACAGAACTGAATTTGAATCTTGGGTCCCCTACATATTTTCTGTGACCTTGTAGAAATTATGCAATTTCCCTAAGCCTCAGATTTCGCTCCTCCTTTTTTTCTTTTTTAAATATATTTTTATTGATTTCAAAGAAGGGAGAAGGAAGGAGAGATAGAAACATCAATGATGAGAGAGAATCATCAATCAGCTGCCTCCTGCATATCCCCTACAGGAGATAGAGCCCACAACCCGGGGCATGTGCTCTGACCAGGAATCAAACCATGACCTCCTGGTTCATAGGTCGATGCTCAACTAAGCCACATCGGCCAGGCCTCAGATTCCCTTTCTGTACAATGAGGACAAATACCACCTACCTCTTATAACTGTTTTAAAGAGTGAGGCAAAATATAAAATATTTTAATGTTTAATATGTTGTTTCTATAAAGTGTCCAAACTCAACCACCTTAATGAATAGAAATGCTGATATTCTGCCTAAAAATTTCACTTTTCATAACAATCGTGAAGCTAAGAAAGTCACTGATATGCTCATAAAGTCCCTTCCAAATCCAAGATTTGGCATATTTTAAGAAACAATTTACTTCTTCCTTTCCCTCATTCCCTACTTAACAGTGAAGATTCCAGTGTAGTCTATATAAAATTACTGAACAAAAGCATACTTCCATCAGAAATAAACTAATTTTTCTCCCAATCAGCAAAGCCTGACTGGAAAAGTAGATGTTTCACAAGACATGATCTTAGCCTTCTCTCAAGACTTTAAAAATGTACTCACATTAAAACCACCAGTATGGTGTTGCTTTTTTTAAAATATATTTTTATTGATTTCAGAGAGGAAGGGAGAGCGAGAGAGCTAGAAACATCAATGATGAAAGAGAACCATTGATTGGCTGCCTCCTGCATGCCCCCTACTGGGGATCAAGCCCACAACCTGGGCATGTGCCCTTGACCAGAATCAAACCTGGGACCCTTCAATCCGAAGGCCAACGCTCTATCCACTGATCCAAACCAGCTAGGGCTGGTGTTGCTTTTAATAGAAAACTCTTTATTGCTCAATCAAGATATTTATGGTGTTGGTTTCTAGTCATCGCTATGTGCACAGAATAAATATAACTAACAGAAAGCATGCATAGAGAGTCCTTATAAACAAGTATATAGCAAAACCGAACTGAAATGTTGGATGTGACAACTGAGTTATGTATAAGGCTATTCAATTTGGAGGAAATAACATTGAAAGCTACTTAAATGTCCAATTATAAAAGATTAAATAAATGATGGTTATGCACATACATTCGATTACTATGTAACCATTATAAAGAATGCAGTCACTCTATATTTAGTCATTTGGAAATCTTAAGTTGAAAAAGTAAGGTACATGATAGTGTATGCATATAGAAGAGGGGAGGGAAAGTACATATATCTGCTTATATCTGCATAAAATATCTCAGGAAGGATACACAAGAAACTGCTAACACTGTTATTGGGGAGGGGAATAAACTGGCTTAGGACTGCATTGTATATACTTTGATCCTTTTGAATTTTGAACCATGTAAATGTATTACCTATTCAAAAAATAACATTAATTTAACAATGCTTGAGAATTATTAAAATTCCATACAGGTGTCTTTCTTACACCTTTTGCCTGTAAGGATAATAAACACATACATTTTATTCAAATTAATGTATATTAAAGAGAAGAATGGGAATCGGGTGAAATTATACTCAAAGACACTAGGCAAAACATTTTATGAGAAAAATATATACTAAAAAAAAATGTATCGCTTACTTTTAAAAGTTACCTAACATTTATTATACACCAACTAATGCCTGGCCTTCGTATATTTTGATCCTCAAAAGCTGAGCCTCTGACTGAGTAGTTCAGTTGGTTACATAGTGTCAGCTGGATATGTCAAGGTTGTGGGTTCGATCCCTAGTCAGGGCACATACAAGAATCAACCAATGAGTGGAACAGCAACTGTGGTCTCTCTCCTCTCCTCTCTAAAATCAATTTTAAAAAAATAAAGTAAAAGCTGATCCTCACTGACTCACAAAGGTCACTGGAATGGTAAAGTGTGGCACGAATTTGATTTAGGCTTACCAAGCTAGGCCCCTGATCTTTTTTAGTATATCCTAAGCTTTTTAGGGCACCCTCACCACCGTGAGGACATTAAAATTGGGAGCGCTCTTGGAGCTCACTAAAATCATCTGACTTCAGAGTTTGCTGCTTAGCCTCACTAAGAAAACTGGAAGGCTCTGGGCAAAGACAACATCCGCTGCAGCTCCCACAAACCCAGTAAGTACCCGGGCCCTGCAGACACAGAAGAATTAAAATGTACTGGTCTGAACTCCTCCCAAGACCTACCCTCTCAGCCAGGGAGATAACATTCAAACGAGCACTAGGCTAATAGCAACACCTTTTTCTTCAAGTAAAATGAATCCAGGTGTTTTCCAGGAGCACATGCACTGTGTGCATAAAGCCAAGTCTGTTGTTCCTAGGTCACCAGTCTCGGGAAGGAAGACAGACCCAGGACTACAGAAACCCACGTGGAAACAAGCCAGGCAGAGCATTTCACTGCCTTCCTCCCATCTCCATAGCCCAACTGAATCGCCTTATGCCTCACACACACATACTCCAATTCTGTCTTGAAATAAAGGCCTGCCACCAGGAAACATGGCCCAAATGGAACAGATATTCAAAACAATTAGGGGACAAAATAAGAGCACACTTACCAATCTATCACCAACAGGAGAGAGAGAAAGTGGAGAGACAGGAAGTGGCTTTAAGAAGGGGCCTCAGAACCTGATTGGCTAATGAGTTAAAGGCCGATGCCCTCCTCTTCTACCTTAAAAGGTACTAAAATAACACAAACCCCTCCTTCACCAACTTATCTCTTAATGGACCGATAATGCTACCTTAATTGTTTTAGGGTGAACTTTTTAAACCAAGTTTCCTTTTGAGTTAATGTAGGTAGCACAAGCAAACACGGGCTAAGTCAGGCTACTAATAAATATTCTTGTTTAGATGGGCCTACTGCAATCAATTTTCATTCCTTTAGAATCAGGGGTGGGGAACTTTTTTTCTGCCAAGGACCACGTGGATATTTATAACATCATTCGTGGGCCATACAAAATTACCACCTTAAAAATTAACCTGCTATATTTGGTCAAACATTTCATTAACTCACCCCTAATGCCTTGGCAGTGCAGGCCAAATGATTTCAGGGGGCCTTACTCGACTCACAGGCCAGAAGTTCCCTATCCCTACTTAGGATAATTTCCTATCCTTTGTGACGTCAACATGATTAATTTATGCATGGTTTCATTATAAACAGTCTAAATCTGTTCACCTTAGAACTTACCTTCTGGGTAACATTTAAGTTAACAGGCTTAGTGGTTAAAACATGGGTGGTTAAAGGCCTAGGCTCTGAAATAAAATTTAGCTGTATAAGCAAACCTTGCTAAACTAACCCTTTCCTTTCTAGTTACTTTTTCACCATTTACTACCCCTAGCTCCTACACCTTTGACTTGTCAATTCTTTTTTTAATTATTATTATTTTAAATCCTCCTGCGAGGCTATTTTTCCATTGATTTTAGAGAGAGTAGAAGAGAGAGGGAAAGACAGAGAGAAACATCGATGTGAGAGAAACACATCGATTGGTTGCCTCCTGCACAAACCCTGGCCAGGGCCCGGGCGGGAGGAGCCTGCAACCAAGGTATGTGCCCTTGACCCGAATCAAACCCAACCGGGACCCTTTGGTCCGCAGGCCTATACCCTATCCACTGAGCCAAATTGACACGGGCTGACTTGTCAATTCTTTACAAATTTATTGTCTGGAAGGTATAAAAGGTTCCTGTTCTAGACACTTCTTTGGATCTTCATTCTCTTGTGAAGTCTCCCAAGTCCATGTAAAAATTCAATAAAATTTGTATGCTTTTCTCCTGTTAATCTGTCTTTGTCAGTTTAATTTTTAAGCCTAGCCAGGGGCCCTAAAGGGGATGAGGAAAACTTTTTTCTACCTTATAGTAGCAAATGAAAACCTCTATTTCAAGGTGCTATACACAGATATTGCAGGATACTTTCTAGCTGCACAGTCTGGAATAAATTTCTTAAAATCTCTGAGACTCAATTTTCTCCTCTGTAGCATGGTGCCAGTAATACCTATTGAGGACTTGTAAGAGCTTTAATACCAGTATCATAAATTGTGGCCCAAAATTTGGATTTTTGCAGCTTGAGCTCTGAAGTTGCTTGCAGAGCATAACTTTGTCCTTTTGGGCTCCGGAACTGTCTGCATAGCCTCCTATGCTGATTGTACTGTTTGTTAAATAATACTCTCTGTACTATAATTGTGTGATCAAAGACAGCCTATTTATTCTACAGGCCTGGCTGCAACTAGGACTTGATAAATGCTTAATTATATATTACCCAATATATGACACCACAGCAATATGAGTAGTGCTGGTAAATCCATGGAAATGGTATCTTGTTCTAATGTGCTTTATAAATTACAAACACTCAAACATTTTAAATAATTAATTACAATCACAAATTTTAAATATTGGATTTTTTCTAATGATTTAAGCTCCTTAAAAACATAGGAATATAATAACTACAAGGTTAAGCAGTAAAACTCACATTTACACTCTACAAAATGTGAATGAAAAAGGAACTATACAATAAACCTGACAAGTTCATGGGGCCACAAGGCAGGCCTGACAAGGTCAGTGACCAAAAGTGACCACACAGGGTGGGGTGGTCTGATCAAGTTCCTAACTGGGCAGGTCATGGCAGGTAGTCATCCATCAATTTTCCTGTCATTTTAACATGTTGTTCTAGAATACAGATAAAAGAGAAATTTAAATAAATCTTAGGAATACCACATCAAAATCAGTGATACCACTTAAAACGTTCACTTATTAGGATAAAAATTCTTCATTGGCACAGTTAATTCTCTTTAGTTATACTTATTTTGATTAATTTGTCATTTTTGTTGTATTTTAAAATTTATTATGACTATTATAAGCATACAGAAAAACAGGAAAAAGAATATAATGAATATCTATAGGCCTATTACCTAAATTTAACAATTATTTGTATTTTGCCCTATTTGATCATTTTGACTGAAGTATTTTAAAGCAAATTCCAGATATAATGACATTTTATCCCTAAATACTATAGCATGCATTTTTTTTTAAATATGTTTTTATTGATTTCAGAGAGAGGAAGGGAGAGGAAGAGATAGAAACATCAATGATGAGAGAGAATAATCGATCGGCTGCCTTCCACACGCCCTCCACTGGGGATCAGCCTGGAACCAGGGCCTGTGCCCCAACCGGAATCGAACCATGACCTCCTGGTTCATGGGTGGATGCTCAACCACAGAGCCACACATGCATTTTTAAATCCTAACTATAATACCATTATCACATCTAATAAGTAATTCCCTAAAGTCATCTAATACTCAGTCCATACCTACATATCCTCAAAAGGTTTTTTATTGCTGGCTTGTTTAAACCAGCACCCAAATATCAAACGCTGCATTTGGTTGCTATACTCAAACGTCTCTTTTAATCTAAAAAAGTGCCTTATTATTTTTTTCTTATAACAATAACTTATTGAAGAGAGTAGGTCAGTTGCTCTGTGGAATATGAATTTGCATTTTTATCCCATGTGAGTCTGAACATTTTTTCCATGTGCTTGCTTATAAAACAAACTATTTATACCTTTTGTCCACTTATCTACAGAGGTTTTGATTTTTCTTATGACTTTGAGACAGCTCTTTATATGTTAAGCATATTTCATTCAACTTTTAAACACTCCGCAGCTTTCCTTTGGGCTTTGTCTCAAATTCTTTAATTTTCTTCTTTAAGAATAGTCAAATATGTTATTTTCCTGTTTTCTTGCATTGTCTAAATAAAACCTAAGAAAATTATCAATCACTCTGTTATGGCCTTAATTGTGCACCCCCCCCCCCCCCCCCCCCATATGGTGAAGTTTTAACCCCCAGTACCTCAGAATAAGACTGTATTTGGAGGCAATGACTTTAAAGAAGTAATTAAAGTGCAATAGGTCACATAAGTGGGTCCTAATCCAATATCACTAGTGTCCTTATAAAAAGAGGAGACTAGGACACAGACACACACAAAGGGAAGACCATGCACGGGAAAATACAGGAAGAAGAAAGCCATCTACCATCCAAAGAAAGAGATCTTAAAAAAAAAAAAAACAACTCTGCCGACACCTTTATCTTGGATTTCTTTCTAGCCGCCTTTAGGTAAAGGCAAGTGAGATGGCATATTTCTGTTGTTTGAGCCACCCACTTATTTATACAGCCCTCGCAAACAAATACACTGTATAACATTTAATAAGTCACTGAAATTTCTCTAAAGATCAATTTTCACAGATGTAAAATGAGGATAATAATACCTACGCTATACGTGTTGTGAGAATTAATATAGTAAGCATTAAATAGTCTAGCTGTTATCCTCATGAAGATTAAGTGAATTTGTGCATGCAAAATAAAGCACTTAGCCCCTGACCATTCTAAAAATCCAGCTAAGCCCTCTGCAGCAAAAGAGGACGGGGGGAGAGTAGTCTGAATTGGGTTATGAGACCCCCTTGCGGAGTGCCTCACCTCAGCCATTGAACTCACTTTGCTGGCCGTGAGTCTGTTCCAAGCTCCGCTTGAGGAGGCATCCGCCAGGCCCCTCCCGGGGGCGGGGTCCGTGGCATCTCCTGCCCAGTCTGCCCTCGCGCGGAGACCCGTTCTCTGGGAACTCACCTCCCCGCTGCTCAGGGAGGGCCCTGTTGGGGCCGCTTATTGGCCCTAGTCTCAGACCTTCCCAGGGGACATGGGGTAGAGTGACGAGGTGCACTCAGCGCGTAGCCCCACCAATGAGCTTCCCTCCGCCCTTGGAGGAAGGGGAAGGACATGGCGGATATATAAGGCCCCCTTATGTATAGTCCTTTTGCAGTTAGGGTGACTTCCCACAACGCATAGCGACACGCAAATTTGACGGGCGTGCCTCTTCTGTCTCTGCGGGCAACTTCTCTCCTGGACGCGCGCTCGCGCTGCGTGTTCCCGCCTTTTGACTCCAGCCGAGCGAATCCTGGGAGAGGGCAGGTGACGTCAACAGTCAGGCTCGATGGCGGCGCGGCGGCGGCTGATGGGGACCAGCGGCCGGCGCAGTCGGGCGTCAGGTTCGGAGATCATTGTTGGGGGGCGGAATGCTGGGGGGCGGGAAGTCGGAAACAGAACGGCGCCTCCTACCCCAGCCCCTCCCCTTTCCGTCGCCCCCTGTCCCGCACTTGGCTGCCAAACTAGTTTTGGTAGTAAACTTACAAGACTTCGGTTTTCGGAGCTTTTTAATTATAGAATTGTGGACCTAACAAAGTGCCAGCTCTAGTGTATATATGTCTAATGTCATCCAATCAAAACAAATTCAATTGTAAGATGCATCATTGTATGTAACAGTAAGAAGGGAAAAACGCTTCCAGTTAAAACATGATTCATGGTTCATGTGTCATCCATGGTGAGATGCATCCGGGTTGCAGAATTGGTGAAATGCAAATCTTAGAATTGATGAGATCTTTATTCTCTGTGTTACATATCAAATGCATAGTCCCGTCCAACAGATGAGGTATTATTGTCATCCTGTGGATTTTACAGTTGGGACAACTGATGAGATAACTTCTGCAAGGTTCCGCAGCTAAGAGTCAGAGCCGGGCTCTAAGCTCACACAGACTCCAAAGCGCTTTACTAACGTTATCTCATTCCACCACAGGTATTTTAGTGATAGGTAGTGGGGGTGGGCCCAAGTAAACAGAACAGATAAGCTATGAGACTCATGCCTCAGCCTATGAACTCACAAGAGTCCCATGGCTCCCTTGTACTTTTTTTTTTTTTTTAACAACTGCTAGTCAATTATTTAAAAGGTTGATTTAAGCATCCGCAACGGCTCAATGACTCCTGCTTCAATACTGAAGGCAGTAATCTGCTCAACAATCTCAGAAGGGCTGTGCAAGTCCGTGAGTCCCCTGTGAGTCCTCACCTGAAACCATCCCAAATCTTAGAACCCTCCCACAGGGAGGTTTTCTTGTGATTCTCAGAGTTTTGGTAGGCATCTCTGCTGGTCCTTTCACTTTGAGATTCTTTTCCTTTGCACTTCTGATCAAGTCAGCACACACCTGCTCCAAAGACGTTTCCTTGGGGCTGGTTAGAGAGTAATTCTAATTCGGTGAATCACAGCCACCTCTGTTGCATAGTCCCGTCCAACAGATGTGGCATTATTGTCACCCTGTGGATTTTACAGTTGGGGCAACTGATGAGATAACTTCTGCAAGGTTCCACAGCTAAAAGACAGAGCTGGGCTCTAAGCTCACAACAGACTCCAAAGCGCTTTACCTCTGGTTCCACGGGTGTCTTTCTGGAATCTTTAAAAGCCACGGCTGCGGTGGGGTTTCTTGGCTGACTTGTTCCTCGGTTAGAGCGAATAGTGGTGAGTAAGGAGCAGGAGTGGGCAGGATGGAGCTCCGCTGCAGCTGCAAAGAGCCTTTTACTTTATTTTACTTTTTTATTTGCCCAGAATAGCAATTTCGGAAGCGATTACTATTATCAACAGTTGTTATTGTTTCTTTGTAACCTTACAAAACCATCCTAAACCATTTCCTTAAAAAGGCGGTGCTTTTTCAAAGTAGGATTATATCCACTGTACACTCATTCTTTGTTTTGCTTCTTTGTCTGCCCATTCTTGCCCTTAGCTTCTAAAGCATCAAATGAAACCGACAATACAGAAGACTCTCCTCCTGCCAAGAAAACTCGAAGATGCCAGGGGCAGGAGGTGAAAAAAGAGCCTGTGCCTGGAGGAAAGGCTGATGAGGACAGAACAGAAGACAAGCAAGGTCAGCCTGGTGTGGTAGGCCAGGGAGGACATGGGCCAGCAAGTAGGTCTCTGGGAGGGGTAAACGTGGAGGATATTCTGTTCTTTCAGCTCTCATTTCTCCAAGGCACAGTAACTTTCTATCTTCTGGGTTTACCATTTTCTTGGAACCTTCAGTTTCATGATTTGAAACAGATTGAGGCTTGAGCACATCAGGACTGCCTAGGAAGGGCCAAGTTAATTATGACAAGTTTCTTTCTAACCAGTTTGATTCCCATACAAGTAGACATAGTACATGCCTGTCTTTCCTCAGAGTCTGTGAAGACCTTGCTGTTAAAGGGCAAAGCTCCCGTGGACCCAGAGTGCACCCTAAAGGTGGGGAAGGTGAGAGACTCCTCAATCCATTGATTTCTCAGAGAGCAGTGTTCTGTTGTTGTTGGGATTCTCACTGGAACATTGCTAGTATTTATTTCACGAATCCTCGCCAAAATATTACTAGTGATTCATTTTCTGCAAGGCTAAATGATGGCAGTGGTGGTGTTAAGGATTAATAATCAGGGTGTTTTTAACCTGGTTAACTTATGGGGCTGTCATCAGCTTCCCATACATCATTCTGTTTTTTCAGTTAGAAAATTATATCATTATCAAGGGGAAAAATGAGAAACTATGCCCTGGTATGGCATGAATTACTGAGAATAGGTTTTCTTTAACTGAGAATCATTTGTATTGTATTTCTGTAATTATAGAAAGGCATCATGTTTGTGTTTGTTTTTAAAATATGTTTTTATTGATTTTAGAGAGGAGGGGAGAGGGATAGAGAGAGAAACATCAATCAATTACCTCCTTCATACCCCCTACTGGGAATCTGCGGGGGATCGAGCATGCAACCCTGGGCATGTGCCCTGACTGGGAATTGAATAAGTGGCCTCTTGGTTCATGGGTCGACCCTCAACCACTGAGCCACCCCGGTTTTTATTATAGGAATGACAGCTTATGTGTGAAAGAAGATACTTTTGCATTTCTTTCCCTGGAAGATGGATGTTGGTAGTGCTGGAGAATGACCCCTTGAGGCGTAAGGCCTCACTTAGGATCTCATCAAGACTATACAAATGTCAGTTTTTTCTTTTCTCTCTAGGCCCATATCTACTGTGAAGGGAATGATGTGTATGATGTCATGTTAAATCAGGTAAGGGGAGAAGCCATTCCATTTATGGGAATTTCTTCTTGACAGTTATTGATGACAGTGTTCCAATGCCCAAATCATTAATTCTGGAGTCCCTTATGTTAGGCACATGCTCTGTAGTAAAGTCTACCTAATAGCGGAGTCCTCGATAACAAGCAGATTTTTTTTGCAGATTTCTTGTCTTTTATTGAACCTATGAACTCTCTGTTCATATCATTTTGCACATTTCCCGACAGGTTGTTGGTCTTTTTCTTACTGGCTACAAGGAACTTTATATAATATGAGAATAGTGTTTCATCTATAACAGCAATTTTCAACATTTTTAACCTCCTAGCACATAAACTAATTACTGAAATTCAGTGGCACACCAAAAAATAAATTTTTTGTCCACCTGACAAAAGAAATAGGTATTAATTTGATTCATTCACATCGGACAGCTATTGTGTTGGCTGTTGTCATTGTTTTATTTGGCAATCAAAGGGAAAAGAAGTCAGTGCCCCTGACTACATAGTCAAGTATTGCATGTTTTAAAAATGTTTGAGGCACACCATTTGAAAATCACTGGTCTGTAGTATAAATTGCCTATATGTTTTTCAAATTTGTCATTTGCCTTTTGATTTTCTTTCTGGTATACTTTTTGTCCTTATTGAAGTTTATATTTTTATGTTAAATTTATGAATTTTTTTCTTATTAACCTTTACCTCTTTGTTTATTTTTGTTGTTTTGAATAGATAATACATTTGCCTGGTTAAAATATATATATCCTAATTATATATCTTCATATTTGAACTTATACACCCATCACATATAATTTTAATGGCTACCTAGTAGTCCTTTGTTACTACTTCTTTTACATGAAATATGAGCATCTTGCAGCTCCTTTTTGTTCTAACATCCTATGACTTTACAGTGTGAATAAGTATAAGATAGGAAGGGGCAGACACTTAACAAAGAGTGCCTGGATAACCAGGACTCAACCTTATCATACAAACTACTATTCCTTATCATGGACTACTCCCTCCCTTCACTCTGAGTAAGTTACCTACCGTATACCTCTTTTAAGATTCTAGTCACATTCTCTCTGAATGTCTCCAAGTCATGCCAGGGACTGATGTGGCAGTGGTTTCTGCCTGTCCTCTATCCCTTCCTAACATTGTCCTGCTCTCAGCTCATTGTCAAATCGCTGCAGTTGACAAAACAAACCTTAATTAAAGCTATTAAGCAGTAAATTGTCTAAACAAATAAGCATAATAGTTATGGATCTTTGAGGCATCAAAATTGTCTTCATTTGAAAAATAATTATTGAGAATGGATTGGGAGCTGGAAAACACATTTGAGATTGGGTAGTGTGCCGAGCCAGCTCAGCCAAGGGTTCGAAAGCCTGAGTGAGGGCGGTGAAGGATGAAGAAATGACAGACAAAGAGAATAAGCTGGGTCTAGGTCAGGGGTGGGCAAACTTTTTGACTCGAGGGCCACAATGGGTTCTTAAACTGGACCGGAGGGCCGGAACAAAAGCATGGATGGAGTGTTTGTGTGAACTAATATAAATTCAAAGTAAACATCATTACATAAAAGGGTATGGTCTTTTTTTTTTTAGTTTTATTCATTTCAAACGGGCCGGATCCGGCCCGCGGGCCATAGTTTGCCCACGGCTGGTCTAGGTGGATTTTCCTGTGCGTGGCTGAGGCCACTGAGAGAGATCCAGAGGCAAGCTGAGCCTTTATTTTATAGCCAGAGGTAAATAAGGTAGTGGTCACCATAGTTACAATGTTCTTGTGAGTTTCACTTGTTTTGGCAGCACTTGCTGCATCTCCCTCAGCCCATTAGCTTCCCAGATAAGATATAGGGAGCATCATAAGGTCAAGCCTAATTACGCTAAGAGGACTGTGCCCTCTAAGCTGGGACTTGTTTGTAGCTTTGCCAACAGGTCAATCCGAGGCTTAACCCTATAGCCGCGCCCTACAGGGTAGAAAGTTTGAGGAAGCTTCCAGGCTCCATTATTAATTCCTAGAAATTCAAAGTTTAATGTAGAACCTAGTCCTTCCTTAAATCTTCACTCTTACAGGAATCTGATTGCCTTGTCCATGCTGTTCTTTTGCTTATGGCAATTACTGGCACCTCTGACCAAGGAAGAGTCGTTGGTTTATGCTTCTTCTATTTGCAAGCCTGTTATTTTATGTTTCTATTTGTCTCACTCATCATAGACCAATCTCCAGTTCAACAACAACAAGTACTATCTGATTCAGCTGTTAGAAGATGATGCTCAGAGGAACTTCAGTGTTTGGATGAGATGGGGCCGAGGTAATGACTTATTATGCATTTTCTGAGTTGTCATTTAGAAAGCCAGAAGCAACTTAGTGAGTGGCCAAGGATCCTCTAAGCTTAAATTGATGGAAGGGAGGCTCTGTAACGAGGGGCGGGGCTTAGGAGTCGGATTGTGCTTTCTGTAATTGCACAGTGGCAGGCATTTTCAGTAGGAAGTTCTCATTGGAAAAACTACGAGCAGCCTGTTGAGAGACAGAACTCTCATAGTGCTGCTCATGAACTATGGCAGTTAGTAGGAGGTAACTAATAGCAACAAGATATATTCCCTAAGCCCTTTCACTTTTTCCTGTCCATTTGTTGGAAGCTAACCAGACCTTAGAGAACTGGCTTGTTACTATTAGAGAACTCTTCTTGGGTTAGGTTTCCAATCTTATATGTGGCATTTACTTTGCAGTTGGGAAAGTGGGGCAGCACAGCTTGGTGGTTTGTTCAGGGGACCTCAACAAGGCCAAGGAAATCTTTCAGAAGAAGTGAGTACTAAGAAATGAGTGTAAAAATATACCCTTCTTCTTCTTGGATGTATCTTCTTTAAGAATTTTATAAATGTGATTTGGCCTAAATGTTAATGTCTTTCCACTATAACATGCTGTGACTAGAACACCAAACTGCATCCTTAGTTAGTGATTACATCACCTGGGACCTTGAAATTGACTAAAAATAGAAGATCTAATATAATTTAGCACATGATCAACAACTTAGGAAATTTGGGAAAAGTGGGATGAGAATATATAGCTAGAGTTTAAAAAAATACTTTACCTATGGATGGATGAAGAACTTTTCTAGAGTCTCTAGAAACGTTTCCTCCAGAGAAAGGGGTTGGATAGGGATCTTTTTGTCTTAAACTTCCAATGGCTTGTGTGGTGTTCCGGAGGCTTTGGGAAGCCCAAAGGTCCGTTTCCCTCCATTTTTTTGTTCCCTTTATACCCAGAACCTTTCTGTTTATTCAGGGCTCTAATTTAGAATCCAGATTTATGGAAAGTTGATGTGTAAGAAAGCTCTGTTGTGGGAAATAAAGTTTGGAGATATTCTAAGGAAACAATTGTAAGCCCATCCCTACTAATAGACCCTTATTTGTAAGATTTTTCTCACCACCTTGGACTCTACAGATTCCTTGACAAAACAAAAAACAATTGGGAGGATCGTGAGAAGTTTAAGAAGGTGCCTGGAAAATATGATATGGTACAAATGGACTATACCACCAATACTCAGGTAAGCTGACTGCATGTTTAGGGGGAAAACTGTTTCCTCTTAACCAGGGTGAAGTCTAACAGAATGACTTAGATCAGGTCATCGATCAGAATGGGCCAAAGTATCCTGAGTCTTGCTATTTCCTACCCAAGAACAGATTGCAGTTCCCTTATGAGTTACCTTCACTCATCTTTGTAATCTTCAAGGGATTGTAGAATGAGGATAAAGGTCCTTTTTTTCTAGTCTCTATTATTGACTAAGGTTCCTATAAAATCTTAGGTCCTGTTTCCAGAAGTTTCATGTTACAAATCAAGAGAGGAGTAATTAATAGTCAAATGGAAAAAACTACATTTAAAGTTGTCTTTACTTCTGGTTTTACAGGGTGGAGCAAAAGTAGGTTTACAGTTGTTTGCATGGAAAATAACACAGGCAGTCCACGGGTTACGTCAGACTCGACGTACATCATTTTGTGGTTACGTCGCCATCTCCCATTTACAGTATTTATTTTAAAAAAAGTTCTGTCATTTTGACATATGTACATATGTGCTTTATGTTTTTTATTATTTATTACCACAAGTAAAGGTCAGGAATTGTTATCTTTCTTTTAAATTTTTTTTAACTGTTTCACTTCTTTACTGCTGTGTAATGTGCTCCATGTGAGTGACGTAGGTGCTTACGTAGGTGGGTTCCGACTTATGGCGAAAATTGCATTACGTCTTGCTGTAGGAACGGATCTCCGAAGTAACTCGAGGACCTACTGTACAATAATTAATAAACAATAATACAAGAATAAACTTTCACATATTCACAACTGTAAACCTACTTTTGTGTCTGTACCACAGTACAAACAATTTAGAGAAACTGGAGTGCAACCAAGATGTTGAAAGCTGTCCTGGAGAAATCTTAGTCTTAAGATGAGAAGATTTAAGACAAAATAGCTGTCTCTACATACTGAATGATATTATATTGTGTTTATTTGAGGCTTATTCTGAGTGTTTACCTATGGGAGGCAGAGTAGGACTAGAAGGTGGAAGTCATATTGAGTACTCTACCTAGGTAATAATGGCATGGGCCTGTATTAAAAACAGAGGCAGATGTTCACCTGCCAGGAATATTGTACAGCCAGTCCTTGCAGAGAGCTTAAAATTGATGCTTTTAGATTTTATTATTTATATTTTGGCTATAGAATGAAGAGGAAACAAAAAAAGAGGAATCTCTTAAATCCCCCTTGAAACCGGAGTCACAGCTAGATCTTCGTGTACAAGAGCTGATAAAGTTGATCTGTAATGTCCAGGCCATGGAAGAGATGATGATAGAAATGAAATATGACACCAAGAAAGCCCCACTTGGTAGGACTTCAGGTTCTATCCTACATTCTCTCCATCTTTCCTAGTTCCTTTAACGAGTTCTTTCATCACTATCATGATTAAAAACTTGCTGATATGAATGAAGAAAAAGAGATTTGGGGTGAGGGGCTGTGTGGAGGGAGGAGGGTCTATTTTGAAAATTGAAAGGTGAGAGTCTGTGTTGGTCAGGGCATAAATGTAGTTTACAGGATAGGACTTTAGTTGTGGAGTCTGATCTCTTGCTGGGTCTGCAGGGAAGCTGACAGTGGCACAAATCAAGGCAGGTTACCAGTCTCTTAAGAAGATTGAGGACTGTATTCGGGCTGGCCAACAAGGACGAGCTCTCGTGGAAGCATGCAATGAATTCTACACCAGGATCCCACATGACTTTGGGTAAGGCCTGTGCTGTTACTTCACTTTGGTCTTCTACTCAGTCTTTCATTTCTAAGGAAATGATCATCTGGAATAGATACAGAGCCAAAATGATTTATAGATAGCCTAACTAATCAGCTTACAAGTATGGAATTCAGTCTTCTGGCCCGATTACAACCATATTCTCTGACCAAGTGGAAGTTACCAACTCAAGTGAGAATGAGTTTAACTATCCAACCAACAAGTAACTATCCAACCACCTTCAGGCATATCACCCCCTATTTCCTGTTCTTTAGGGCGTCTATAACCACACACCATTTCTGTGAACTTAAATAAAGGGTGTCCCAAAATTCACTCAAGAAGTAATTTTGATAGAAAACACAGGTTTATAATTAAACATTGTAAATTTTTTATTGATTCATAAAGTATACAGTATAGGGTTATGTATGGAATAACATATTGGGTAAATGGCCTCCACAGCTTTGCTGGCATATATGTACTCTTTTGTTGAAATTTTCCATGACCGAAATGCGGCTGCTCAGGCAATAACAGTTAATGGTGCTCGCTATAGCAACATGATAATCTAGTTTTTTGTGCCGTGGAGGCATTTACCCGATATGCTATTCCATATATAACCCTATATATGAATCAATAAAAAATTTACAATGTTTAATTATAAACCTGTGTTTTCTATCAAAATTACTTCTTGCGTGAATTTTGGGACACCCTTTATTAGGTATATACATTCTTTTATCTTTGTTGATTCTATATTCTTGTGCTTATTTTATTCCTTCTAATGCTTTATAGAGCTCTGTGAACTAGAAATAACCCTGAGTGGTCTACTGCTTCTAGACAGGACTATACCCAAAGTATTCCTTATTGATAGCAATATATCTTCTTTTTCTTTATTTTTCTTTTTTTTAATATCTTCTTTTTAGAAAAGCATCCCATAAAGAAGAATTTTCAACTCGTCTCAAATGTCAAAATCTATATGTTTTATCCTACTCAGAGTATATACATCATATCTCTCTATATTTGGAAGTTAAAATATCTTTATGGATCTCTCTCTCTCTCTCTCTCTCTCTCTCTCTTCAAAACCCAAAGTTTCTTATATCTTTTTTCTAAATGACCTATCTTTAGTCTGTTATTTTTAGTCATGTGCCACAGATCAGAGACTTATTATGGGTTATATCTCTATCCTTAGACTCCGTACTCCTCCATTAATCCGGACGGAGAAAGAATTGTCAGACAAAATACAACTACTAGAGGTGAGAGATGTGTGGATTGGGAAGTATTAAATCTCTTATCCCAGGTTCTTCCTATATTGATTCTATATCTCATCTTGTCAGGCTTTGGGAGACATTGAAATTGCCATTAAGCTGGTAAAGACCGAGCTGCAAAGCCCAGAACATCCATTGGACCAACACTATAAAAAACTACATTGTGCCTTGCACCCTTTAGACCATAAAAGTTATGAGTTCAAAGTAAGAAAATGTTCATTTATGTTCATACCTTTAAAACCTACCCTTCCCCACCCCACTGTTTTCTGGCTACATCTGGTTAAGAGCAAACTTTTGTATAGGACAGAATTTCTATTTACTAGAAATTTGGGAAGGTAGAGCTCTTTCTGACTGCCTTGTGAGACCATTTGGGAGCAGAAAGGTCTCAATTTATACCAGAGGCCCTGAAGTTCTCAGCTTAGTCTGGTCTATTATAGAGTCCACATTGGCCATTTCTTTCATTCTTTTTCACAGATAATTTCCCAGTACCTTCAGTCTACCCATGCTCCCACACACAGTGACTATACCATGACCTTGCTGGATGTTTTTGAAGTAGAGAAGGAGGGTGAGAAAGAAGCCTTCAAAGAGGACCTTCATAACAGGTCTCAGTTTAGCTTTGGGTTTGGGAAGATATTCCCTTGCCTGGAGTGCAGCTATGGAACTAAGGGAAGGATGGCACAGAGAGCTGTTGGCTTTATGCTTAGAGCCTATGTTTGCAGGAGAGACAACAATAACAGTGGCTTTTCCTTAGGATGCTGCTATGGCATGGTTCCAGGCTGAGCAACTGGGTAGGAATCCTGAGCCATGGGCTTCAGATTGCCCCACCTGAGGCTCCCATCACAGGTTACATGGTGAGTAGAAATTGAACCCTAGAAGGAGGCACAAGGGAAAAGAATACAATAATTTTCTCAGTCCTAGTCCTTTTTTCTCCTAGATTATGATTAGTGGTGCCCTTTCCAAGCATTGAATCATCTTTTTTTTTTAATTTTAGAGAGAGGAAGGGAGAGAGAGACATTGATCGATTGCCTCCCACACATGCCCCAACTGGGGATCAAACCCACAACCTGGATATGTGCCCTGACTTGGAATTGAACCCGCCACCTTTTGGTGTATGGGACAACGCTCCAACCAACTGAGCCATACAGGTCAGGGCCCAGCTCACTTTTTACTACGTCCCTCTTTATTTAAATTTCTAAATATATCTATCCTTTCTCCCTAGAAGCAGAGATTCACCAATGCTAAGCTTCTCTGGGACATAACTGTGAGGGGAAATGGGAAAAGGTCTCTATTGTGTTTAAGATTATAGAAACACAGGGTCAGTGATGTGAGCCTCCCTTCTAACACAATACGTTAAGCTGCTGACCTTGGTGTTTATTTATATATTTCAGTTTGGAAAAGGAATCTACTTTGCTGACATGTCTTCCAAGAGTGCCAATTACTGCTTCGCCTCTCGCCTAAAGGATATTGGATTACTGCTCCTATCAGAGGTAGGGCAAGAACACATCTATAGTCTCTAGTTTATTATCCCTGTTTTTCCAAAGAAAAGTTTGACCACAAAGAACTTGAGTGGGGAGCCAAGTGCAATTTCCATTGCATTCGATTCCTCTGCTACAGGGGAAGAAAGTACTGATGGGCTTTTCTGTTGGCTTCAGAGCCATCCAATTCTTGGTAGGGGGTGGGCATTCAAAGATCTTTTGCTTTGCAGGTAGCTCTAGGTCAGTGTAATGAGCTACTGGAGGCCAACCCAGAGGCAGAAGGATTACTTCAGGGCAAACACAGCACCAAAGGACTGGGCAAGATGGCTCCCAATCCTGCGAGCTCCGTCACTCTGTAAGTACTCAGCTTGGCTAGATAGGGCTCTACTTTCTCTGTTTCAACTTCTGAACCAGAGGCAAGTGTTGACATGCTTTCCTCCACTTGGCAGGAATGGGAGTACAGTGCCCTTAGGACCAGCACATGACACAGGAATTCTGAATCCAGATGGTTATACCCTCAACTACAATGAATTTATTGTCTATAATCCCAACCAGGTCCGTATGCGATACCTTCTAAAGGTTCAATTTAATTTCCTGCAGCTGTGGTAACATTGATATTAAATAAACCAGAGAAGATATCTTCAAGCAAGGAAATAAACAATGTTGTACTTTTGAACTTTTTCTTATTTTATGTAATAAAAATAGTACAAATCTACCACTGGCTTCTTTGGGCTTTACTTCTGCAAGCACATAGTTCTTCTGATGTTAGTGTATCTTCATTTCCAGGACAGAAAGTATAATTATTATTTGTATCTCACAGGTATCTAGGATCCTGGGGGTTGTTTCTTTTCTTTTTCTTTCTTTTTTAAAATTTTTTATTAAAGTATAGCTGGCATACATACAACATTATGTGAGTTTCAGGTGTACAACATGGTTAGTCAACATTCATATACCTTATGAAGTGATCACCATAAAAAATCTAGTAACTATCTGTCACTATACGAAGTTACTATGATACTATTGACTATATTGCCTATGCTGTACATTATATCGCTGTGGGATCCTGTTCTTTCACAGCAGAATAGCTCTGTGCATTGAGGAATACTAATTGAGGCTATTACTTTTTGCCATTTAATTCAATTTTTCTGCAAACTGGAATTTGTTGGTTATTATTACAAGAATAGAAGCAGCAAAGTCTGAATTGGTCCTTTTTTCCCAATCCGATCTTTTCACTTGCCTTTTTCCCTGTTTATCAACTGCACACCAGGTCTCCCAGCACTTTGTGTTTTAGGACTCAACAGATGTCCAGAAATTTAGAAAGCATTTGGAGGACTGTCACTAAGCCTAAATATATCTTGGGGAGGAGAGGCGAGAAGTAGAATGAGTTTTCATGTATCTTGTTCAATCTAAGAAGTACCAAAGTCCAAGTCAGATCCAAAGACTTTCCGGTTATTAGTAATCATATCCAACACAGATAAACACACATAACACAGTTCCTTAAGTAACAATGAAGGTTATTTAAATGAAAACTTTAGCCTACAACTTTTTAGAGAGACCAGACTACCAATATCAAAATTTAAAATGTAGACACCCTGCCCAGCAGGTGTGGCTCAGTGGTTGAGCATCAACCCATGAACCAAGAGGTTGCTGGTTTGATTCCCAGTCAGGGCACGTGCCCAGGTTTTGGGCTTGATCCCCAGAAGGGGGCATTCAGGAGGCAGCTGATTGATGATGTTTCTCTCTCATCGATGTTTCTATTTATCCCTCTCCCTTCCTTTCTAAAAATCAATAAAAACATTTAAAAAAACTAAAAAATAAATAAAGAATATGTACACAATCTGTAAAAATTACAGATGTACATGTTTACATGGGTGATGTCACTGTAGCATTGTTCTATGCAAAAATTTCCATAGATAAGGAAATAGTTAAATATATTCACTTACTGAAAGACTGCTGCTGTTAAAATTGAGTAGATTACACGCTTTTCCCAAAAAATAGGAGAGAAGGGAATACTTCCCAACACATTCTATAAAGGAGTATGAAACTAAAACTAGATAGGTATCACAAGAAAAGCAAACTATAGACCAAGATCCCTTAAAAATATAGATATAAAAAAATACAAACAAGTTTAAACCAGCAAGCTATAAAAAGGATGGATTATATACCATGACCAAGTGAGATTACTGGAATGCAAGGTTGGTTCAACATAAGAAAATCAACTAATGGAGGACATAAATCACATAACCATCTTATTAGATGCAAAACAGCATATCTATGAAAAACCCACAGAAAGACTGAAAGCTCTAAGATAAGGAACAAGACCAAAATGTCTGCGCTCACCACTTCCATTCAATGTTGTACAGGATTCTAGCCAGAGTAATTAGATAAGGAAAAGAGAATAAAAAGGCATCCAGATAGAAAAAGAAGAGGTAAGACTATATATTTGAAGGTTATCTAATATATATAAAAAGCCCTAAAGAATACATACACATAAAAAGAAATTAGAAGTAATAAGTTCAACAAAGTTGCAGGATATAGACAATATACAAAAATCAATTTTATTTCTATACACAAATAAATAATCTGAAAAGGGAATTAAGAAAATAATTCCATTTACAATAGCATCAAAATGTAAAAATAATTAGGAATAGATTTAACCAAAGAAGTGCAAAACTTGTACACTGTAAACTATAGTACATTGTTGAAAGAAGTTTAAGGCCTAAATAAATAAAAACACTCTGTTCATGGATTAGAAGACTTAATACTATTAAGATGATAATACTCCCCCAAAGCAATCTACAGATTCAATGAAATTCCTATCAAAATTCCAACAGCCTTTTTTGCACAAATGAACAAGAAAAACCTAAAGTCCATATGGAATTGCAAAGGGAACTTGAATAGCCAAAACAATCTTGAAAAAGAACAAAGTTGGAAGACTCACACTTCCTGACTTCAAAACTTACTACCAATGCTACAGTTAAGACAGTGTGGTAATGGCATAAAGATAACATAAGTCAATAAAATTAAGAGTCCAGAAATAGACCCATGTATCTATGGTCAACTGATTTCAACAGGATGCTAGGACTATTAAGAATATTCTTTTCAACAAATGGTGCTTGGATATCCACATGCAAAGTAATCAGTTTGGAATACTACCTCACACTCTATGCAAAAATTAACTCAAAATGTATCAAAGATCTAAATATAAGAGCTAAGTCTATAAAATTCTTAGGAAATACAGGGAAATATTTGTGACTTGGTTAGGCAATAGTCTCTGAAATATGATTTTAATAGCACAAGCAACCAAAGAAAATAATAAAATTAGTCTTCATCATAATTCAAAACTTTAATACATCAAAGAACACTATCAAGAAAGTGAAAAGATGCCCTGTCAGTATGGCTTAGTTGGTTGGAGTGTTATCCTATGCACTGGAAGGTTGAAGGTTCGATTCCTGGTCAGGGTACATATCTAGGTTGTGGGTTTGATCCCTCGTTGGGGCACATGCAGGAGGCAACTGACTGATGTATCTCTCTCACAACAATGTTTCTCTTCCTCCCTCTCTAAAATCAATTTTTAAAAAAGAAAAAGAGCCAGTCCTCCCCTTAAAAAAAAGGTGAAAAGATAACCTAAAAATGGGAGAAAATACTTGCAAATTATAATCTGATGAGGATCTAATATCCAGAATATAGAAAAAATTCTTACAATTCAAAGATAAAGACAATACTTGCAAATTATAATCTGATGAGGATCTAATATCCAGAATATAGAAAAAATTCTTACAATTCAAAGATAAAGACAATCCAAATAAAAACCAAGGATTTGAATGGACATTTCCTTGAAGAAGAAATACAGATTCCAATAAGCACGTGAAAAGATGTTCAACATTTATTAGGAAAATGCAAATCAAAACCACAATGAGATACCACTTGACACCCACTGGAGGACTATAATAATAAAGACCAACTATAACAAGTTGGTGAAGGTGTGGATGAATTGGAATTCTCATATATTACATGAGAATGTAAAAATGGTGTAGCTGCTTTGAAGAATAGTTTGGCAGTTCCTCAAATAGTTAGAGTTACCACATGATATACCAATTCCACTCCTAGGTACATAACCAAGAGAATTGAAAAATGTCTACAGGGTGTTCCTTATGTCTTTATCCTCTGGGTGAGGGAGACCATGAGGCATGGGGAGAAATAAGGCAAAGTCCCTCAGGTGATTTCTCCATGTAAAATCTGGAATCAGGGTGAAATAAGAACAAAATATCCCACTCAAGTCCCCAAATCTCATTTCTAGACCAGAGTGCAGTTGTATTTCTCTGAAAGAACCCTATCATAACCCAGGACAACATCCTGTAATAGCCCTGGCTTATCACATACAAGTTCTTGAATTCTTGGACACAGAAGATCCTTAACCCTTGTTTCACCCATAGAAAGAAAGGGCCTCAGGTAACTTCTTCTTCCAAAGGACAGAATTACAGGAAAATAAGAAGGTTCTAGAACTTTTACTTAAGAGGATCACAGTCTCTGGTAAGTCCGTAAGTAAAAGCCTCCCCCTTTCAACTTATTTTAACCTTTGTGAACTTGAATTTGAAAGAGATACATTTTTGTGATCTCTTCCAAGAATGCAGATGATCCCAGCTGGTGTGGCTCAGTGGTTGAATGTCAACCTATGAACCAGGAAGTCAGGGTTCGATTCCTGGTCAGGGCACATGCCCAGGTTGTGGGCTCAATCCCAGTGTGGGGCATGCAGGAGGCGGCCAATCAATGATTCTCTCTCATCATTGATGTTTCTATCTCTCTCTCCCTCTCCCTTCCTCTCTGAAATCAATAAAAAATATATTTTAAAAAAATGCAGATGAAGGTACTGACTTATGCTTGCAAGCCACATGGTGGCTGCTGTACCGGCAGAGGCTGTGAAAGCCAGAAGACTCCGTCTGCTTTCAGTGCTCATCTGGGCAGTTAGTTCTGAGTAGATGGGACTGTTTCTCTAAGAGGAACCTAGTGCTTTCCCACTTCTATCCCAGTTCTTTCTAAAGGCCCTTACTAGGGGCACTATCGACTTACTCTTCCTTCCCTTATTTTTTCTTGACCGAGTGAGAGGTCTCCAGTTCAGTGCTGGCCAACATCACTTTCATATCTCCTCCAGGCAGGAGTGGTATCTTGGGCTCCCTGGCCCAGCAAATGACACAAGAATTTTAAAGCCTAGTTTCAAAGAATATCCACTAAAGATCTGGTTCACTTTCTTGCAGTTCTAGTAAAAAAATCATCTTAAATCAGAAAAGAAACATTATAGCATCCATTTTCTTCCCGGTTGGTCCAAATCCACATGAGAACTCGGGCAGGATTGTACTTGAAATTTCCTGATACTTTATTTTTATAATTTTATCAAGAAAGTTTCCACCAGTGTCTTCAGGCTTGCACGTCCAGCACAAATGGTACCTCTGCCCTGAGTAGTGCATCTTCATTCCCAGGACAGAAAGTATACATTGCCCTGTGTGTCTCCCACTGCGAGCTGCAGGGTAGAGTCAGGCCCCAGCCAAGGTTCCAGGCAGCTCACTGCCCCTTCGCACCGGAACAGGCCCAGCTACAATGAGAACAAAAAAGAGGGAGATGAGAATTACAAGCCTAGGGCCTCCTTACTACCCTGTTTTTCTCTCACATTAATGCTTTTTATTTAGAACAGGTTAGTCCCATATTATTGCAAGAAGG